GCTTCCAGTGGGTCTAATCACATAGCCCTGTCCCTTGGGGGCCTGATCTCTTTGCAGAGGAGGTGAAATGGCCATGCTGACCCTTCCATAGGAAGTGCTCAACCCTGGACCAGAGGCCAAAAACAATAAAGAACCCTTTAGGGTGGAGCCAAGTTGCAAAATTCAATTTTGTTTTATATGAAACTAAAATTTTCTTCTTTTTACACAAACTTCCTGAAAGTCGAGGATTGCAGGAGAATTTCCCAAGAAGTAAAGTTTTTTGTTTGTTTGTTTGTTTGTTTTTAGAAATATGTTCAGATTTTACTAATATACAGTTATGCAGATGATTGTGGGAAAACCAGTACACACATACTTGATCCTTTTTCTGGATTAGCAGCTATAGACACCTAGAAAGGAGTGGGTAGACTCTCTCACAAAGGTCTCAAATTCCTTATGAAAGAAAATGACATAAATAATGGAAACTGCTAATTAAGGGAAGAGAAAATATATAATCACTTAATGCCCATATATATCTTTACTATTTACAGGACCTTTCATATGTTTTTGATTCTCACAACCACCCTGTGAGGTAGGCAGGTTTCAGTTATTTATTCTGGTGAGATATTTTTCCATAAACACAGAAAAACACCAAGAAAAGTTTGCTTTTGGAGCCTCATTTTCATGTATTTAAAGAATATATAAAAGTTTTAAAAAGCTGTTTTTTTTTCTGACTAATTTTAGTTTCAGAAATCACATTAAATATTTCTTATTTTCATAGTCCTTACAAAGAAGGTAAAAAAGAATCCACCTTTGGATTCTTTTGGGATTCGCTCTAACTAAGCAATATTTTTATCTGAGAGAAATATTCCTTTGTTTTTCTCACATTCTTTGAGAAGCAAGTGAGTGTTGACTGTCCAGATGTAGGTGTTCTGAAAATCAATGCTGGGTCCTTGCCATATACTGTGATTTAAGTTTGCAGAACTTAAAGTCTTTCTCTTCAGTGTCTTCAGGCCGAGCTTACTTGTAGGAGTGGTAGGATTGCTTTTCAATACTGATAGAAAGCTGCTACTTTTACCATGATGTTTAATTGTTCTGTTGCATGTTTATAAGTAATCAAAAATAAACTTTGGGAGTCTTTGTACTTTTTCACAATTTTTACTTCTTTAAAACTGAGTGTTTAATTTCTTCTTGATTAAGAAGTTTCTGTATTTTGCATGTCAGTGTGGACTTTGGTTTGAGGTTCACTCAAGAATTATCTAGAACAAGCAATTGGAAATAGTAAGAATATGTTCCTTCAAAAGTGCTTTTAGAATAGGAGATATCGGGCCTGGCCCGGAAAACTATCTTATAGTTTCCAGCCTCAAGGTTGTACTTCTCTCTAATCACCACCGCTGTCCCCATGCTGCTAAGACTCAGTGACAAAGGGTGAAGTAAAGTCACTTCTGTTTCAGGCTCAGGCCATCAAGGTCATATGTATCAATCAATTTTGATCAAGAACTGCAAGGCAAACAAAAGCTTGATTTGGGGGTTATTTTTAGGACTTACAATCCAGGAGACACAGATTTGGTAGAAATCTAATTATGTTTTGAGGGGAAAATAAAGGGACAGAGTTTATAAAAATAGAAAAAGCAAGGCTTCCAAAGTGATCACACAAGTTGCTTTGAAGGAGTTGTGATTGGTGCTGGCAGGCAAACTTACACTATACTATTAATTACTTATACGATTAATTACTTATGTCTATTGCTAGGTGAAAATATTATTTTTTAATAGAGAATTCAGTGCTGCAGAGCCAGTCCCAGGAACTGTATCAGGATGTAGCCTTTTGGTTTAGCCCAGTTCAAAAGTTCAGTTTCATATGGAAGTGGTATGTATTAGCTCAGCTACTTGGAGACCTCTGGCTCCACTTCAGACTGCTCTCTTGACAATACCAACTATATTTTGTAGTTTTTGTTTTACATAAGAAATACTTCTTCTCTAGAGGGGCCATACCCAGGCAGAGGAGGCAGAGGGTGCCCAAGGAAGGCTCTGTCTATCTGTAGATACCCACCAAAAACACTAAATGGGACCACTGCTTTAAAAGAATATCTTCACCAGGACCACATATGACTCAGAAGACAGCAGCTGAACTCAGTATATGCCTACTTGCTCCTTGGTGCTTAAATTCCTCCATTGGGGGACCCAGCCCAGTCTCCATTCTGAGGACTCAAACTACAGGCACTACTCACTAACTTTGGAAGAGACATGTGGTGAAGGACACTCATCTGTTGTGGAACTGTCTCATCCCCATCCTGCCTTACTTGGAAAAGACCTAGCGAGGAAAGAGGAGAGAATGGGAGAACACTGGAGGTATAAATGGAAGAGTGAGAGGTAGTGAAATTCAATACCACTGGAGAAAAGGCATTTTCTTTGTCACAATTTGGGGACAAAAGCTGATGTTCAGCACCTGCCAAAGAAGAAGAGCTGTGGTAAATATCCCAGGATTTCAAATGAGATCATGAAGGGCCGCAGCCTACGAATACCAGTCAACTGAAAATAGACCACTTTCAGAAAGCCTGCTTCGAATCTTCAAAGAAATGAAACAAAATAATTAACAAACTAGAATTCTGTAGCCAGAAAAAAAAAATCAAAATGGAAGAGAAAATTAAAACATTTTCAATCAAAGAAGAGATAAATCTCGAAAGGTTGAAATGGTTCAGAGTATATTCTCTGTTCACAGTAGACAAATGAAATAAAAACTGAACTTGAAAACCTCCAGTTGTCTGTACATTTAATAATATATTTTTAAATAATCCAAGGGTAAAAGAAGAAATCATATAAGAAATAAGACAATACTTTGAATTAAAAGATAATGAACATATGATATAGCAAAACTTCTGAGATGCAGCCAAAGCAGGGCTTAAAGGAAAATTTATAGTATTAAAAATCCATCTATTAACAATGGTTGGAGGACACCAAGAGGAGGGAGGAGGGAGATTTGGTTTAATCCCTAGGACAGGAGCACCAATACACCAATGGAAATAGAAGACAGTTTAATAAGGAGACAGTTTTTGAATAAATAAAACAAAAATAAAAAAAAAAACACCCTAAGAGATGTAGCAACAAGATCCAACCAAAAATAAATCCTTAAGAGATTTCTAAGGGGAAGGGAATTGATACCAGTGTAGCAAAGTAATGTTGAAGGAATGATGCCCAGAAGAAAGTTAAATATGTTGCTAATTCCAAATGAATAGTGAATGTATAAAACAGCAATTATATTTTCTTATGGGCTTTCAAATATGTAGAATTTAAACATATGACAACAATAACACAAGGCAGAGACAGATATGAGTAACAGTGTTCTAAGGTCATCCCACCATCTTCAAAATAGTAAAAATATTAATTTAGAGTAGACACAATTAAGTCGATTATATTCATTACAATTGTTAAAATTGTCGCTAAAAGAAGAGTAAAAGGAGGGATAAATAAAGTCATTGAAGGGAAGAAATGAAATAATAAAAAGATCTTGAATAATCCAAAAGAATGCAAGAAAGGAAAAAAGAAAAAACAGAGACAAATGAGATGAATTGAAAACAAATAGTATTTGAAAACTAATATATCTAGTAAACTAGTAATGATGATATTATTTATCAGTAATCAGTAATGTTATTGTAAATAGAATAAATCCTCCAAATAAAAGACTGTTAGACTGATATACAACACTGTTTGCTGCTTACAATAGCATCTTAATTATTAAGATAACATTTGCATGTAAAAAGATGAATAAAGATACATGATGAAGACACTATGGAAAACAATGATGATGATGTAGCTAGCTACTCTGACATCAGAAAAAGTTGACTTCAAAGCAAGAAGTGTTACTTGAGATAAAAAGGTATCATAATGATAACATGGTTGACTCCCCCAAAACTGTAAGTTCTATTTGAATAAACACTTAATGACAGAGTCTCAAAATATATAAAGCAAGAATTGTGAGGGAAAAATAGACAAATTCATAATTATAGTGAGAGATTTTTAACCCATCCTCAGTAACTGACAGAAAAGGAGACCCAAGCAAGCAAAACAAAACTCAATAAAACATAACAAGGTAAAAAGAGTAAATATATACAAAGTTTGAACAAAACAGTGTATTAAGTTATATAGATGTCTAATTCTTCACCTAAAAAAAGCAGAATGCACATTCTTTTCAAGAACATATAGAATATTGGTCATATTCTGGGCAATAAAACAAATCTCAACATGTTTTATCATGTTTATAAATAATAGAAAGGATCTTCTCTGACTATAGCAGACTTGAGCTGGAAGTTAATAAGAGAAAAGAAATTAGAAAATCAACTACGGTTAGAAAGTAAATAATAGAGCTCTAATAGCCCACCAGTTAAGAAAGTAGTCACAGTAGAAATAACAACATGCTTTGAAGTGAGATAAAATGAATCATAAACATATCAGACTGGGAGGATGAAGCCTGAGGAGAGTCAGGGTGGTGGTGAAGATAGCTCCTCATAGACACTTCTGCCCCCACCATTGCTGGCTACACACTCTGTACTCCCCTGAACCCAGCTGGTGGTATGGACTCCAGCCAAGGTCGCAGGCAGGCTAGGCCAATGCCTCCTCTCCCCAGGCTTACCAGAGTTCCAAGGAATTTGTGTGACTCTGACAGACCTTGCCTGCACTGACTTGAGAACAAGAAGATGGACTCAAAGCCGTTCATGAGTGGGGCTGCAGCAGCTGGAGGGATCCTATCAGCATGCAGCTCAGGAGAGAAGTCCTGGAGATGTGCAGGCAACAGAGCATATTGTATGCATGTCTCTGCATGCAGAGTTTTGTGACAAGAAGGTGAAAAATGTGACACTCTGATCTGCTTTCTATTCAGTGATAGCAGGAGGGACAAGGCAGGGAATGAAAAGGAGGAACTGAACGGTGGTGCCAGTTAAAGTCAGGGCCTCTTGAGTAGGGCTGTGTCGGCAGCTGCCACCCCCTCACCTCCCACACATTGCCAGCTCTCTGTGCTGACACTGAGCAATATGTTCCTGAAGGTATCTTTACTTCTGGGGTTTATTGTACTCGGCACTCATGTCTGGACCATTCAAAAAGAATTTGCAGACATTAGTAAGAACCAAGATTACTTTGTCGTATCTGTGGAGTTTGCCATGGCTGTGTTCAATGACAACAACATGGAAGAGAATGCATACAGATTGCTGGAGGTGAGACGAGCCCAGCAAAAGGTGAGTCATTCTTTCCATGCTGAGCTGCTGGTCACCCATGAACAGCCCTGAACCAAGCGCAAAATTCGCAGGACTCAGATATGCAGGGTCCTACCTCTGACCTCAATCTGGAAGAGATAAAACGGGAGAGGGGACCTCACCTTCACAGGGATACTGGCTTCCCTCATTCTTTCCTGTTTCCTTACATCTGCCTCTTCCTTGGGTTGCATCCCAGCCCTGCATCCAGGGAGGCCTATCAGGCCTGGGCTGGGGCAAGTGGAGGCAGTGCTGGGTCCAAGGCTTATGTGAGAAGTAGGTGGAAAATGTGACCCCTGCTCTGACTTCTGTTTGATGATGACAGGAAGAATAAAGCAGGGAATATAGAGGAGAAACTGGACTAGGCACCGGTCAGTAACTCAGGGATTATGTGGGGCAGGGCTGTGTGGGATGCGGAGCTATGGAGGTAGTCCTACAGCAGCTGCCATCCCCCACCTATGTGCTGCTGGCCTCCAGGACTGACACCAGACAACATGTTCCTAAAGGCGCCTCTGCTTCTGGGGCTCATTGCTCTGGGGCCTCACGTCAGCAGTCCCAACTTTGTGGACATTAGTAAGAGCACAACTTCCTTTGCCATGTGTGTGGAGTTTGCCGTGTTTCAGTTCAACCAAGACCATCTGGATGAGTATGCTTACAAGCTGCTGTGGGTGGGGAGAAGCCAGCGCAAGGTGAGTGACGAACTTTTCTCACTGAGGCTCCATGTTGGCCTTGAAACCAGGCCTGGGAGGGGTGAATCCTTGGTCTGCATAAAAGAGCAAAGAATGGTTTTTTTGTTTGTTTTTTAGTAAACATTTTTTATAATGCAAGGTATCATTACAAGTGCTTCAAGTTTCTTTTGTTTTCTTAATGAGTGAAATTCCTAAAAAACAGGGTAGAGAAAGAAAGAAGATAACAGAAAGGAAAGCATTAGTGTCAAAGATTCAGCTACTGTGTGAGGGAGAGAAAAGCCACATCCCATGTAAGATGGCTGAGAGAAGGGATAATAGCAGAGATTGACAGACAATGAGGAAGACAAAGAGTAGGGTGGCTGGAAACAGAACCCCAAGAAGAAAAGGCATCACAGAGGAGGTGACTGCAGGCCTTGGCTGGGCTCTAGGGAAGCCTCACGGTGCTGATCAGCAGAGAGGATGCTCATCTGTGTCCTGCTTGAAACCAGTAAGCCTTATTTGCCCACAAAGACATTGTGGTTCCATGCCTGGGTTGGAGGTGGCAGAGAAGACAGAGGCGTGTTCTCATGGGACTGTTATGCTTCTGATGAGAGACAAACAGGCCTCAGGTTTATGAGTGAAATAGTGGAAGGCTGGGACAAGAATTGTCAGTGCAGGGACTCAGGGCCATAGGGAGGCAAGGTATGTTGGGGGGGATCAGAAAGGGCCTCTCCACGACAGGTACTCCTGGAAGAACTCAGTCACATGGTGGAGATTTGGGGACAAGAAGAGAAAGCAGACACGGAGAGATTTCTGAACCAGGACAAGCCATGAGTGTCCAGAGGGATGGCCTAAAAGTCCTTGGACCTATGTCACAGAAAAAGTGTACAGGGGAAGTGGGCCTGGAGCATCTACAGGGCCACAGATGAGGAGTTAGGATGTTATTCTTAGAGTAATAGGAATCAATGGGAGGAAGTCACTCAGATGCTTTAGCAACATCTCTCTGGATGCTGTGAGCATGTGAGCATAAGCAAGCTGAGACCATGAGGCAGGGATGGTCCCCTGGTCACCAGAAGGTTGAAATGCTGGCTTCTGAGTCTGCTTAAAGGTGGATGTGAGGTGCACTGAAGTGGGGTGTGGGGGAAAGCTGGCATCAAGGATAGACCCTAAGTGTTTGCCCTTGAGCACATGGGTGGGTAGTGACTCTATCACTGGAAAGACAATGGAGTAAAGTGGGAGGAAACATAAAAAATCTGAGCAAAACACATATTTAGTGTTTCTGAACTAGCCTATGGAAAGTCAAGGAAGCAGTGGGTTATAGGGCTTTAAAGATAGAAGAGGACAAACCTGATATAAATGTACGTGTCGTTAACATCTGTTTAGGCAAACCTTACCACTGATGTTAATTCTTGTCAATTCCTGTTTCCTTTGAATTGAATAAAGACTGTTGCCATTCTGTCCGTGCCCAGTTTCTGGTCTCCCATGAATACTCCTGAGCCAGGTGCCATGTTCGCAGGACCCAGATACACAGGATCCCACCTATGACCTCACTCCAGAAGAGATGGAAGGGAGAGTGGACCTTATCTGCACAGGGGCACTGGCTTCCCTCAGTCTTTCCCATTTCCTGACATCTTCCTCTTCCTTAGGTTGCATCTCTGTACCCAGGGAGGCTGCACAGGCCCCTGTCCTAGGCCCTGAACTTCACTGTAGCTCAGGGTTGAGTGCCTGTGCAGTGGGTCTGGTCGTGCGTGGGTCTGGTCGTGCATGAATGTCTGTGTCTGGGTGTTCTATTGGTGCAAGTCCAGGCATGAGTGGCTGTCAAGTGTCAGCTGCAGGAATTCTTGAGCCCCAAACAAATCAGGTTTCTAGACAATTCTAGGTCAGTCTAGTGAGAGGTGAATTCCTCCCTGCGTTGATTTCTGACTAGATTTTTCTCTGTGTTTGAGTTTCTCCAAATTTTCATGGACCTCTGTTTAAGGAAATGAAATCATAACTTTTAATTACTTCTTGTAGAAACCTAATAAACACAGTCAGCACCCACTTCATAAATATCACCTCAATGAATGTCTGTAAGATGAGCCCTTTTGTGCAGCCAGCTCCTACATGAAGAGACAGAGTGTTCCCAGCCCCCAGGACCCCATAAGGGATAGGGCAGCTCCTATGTCTAATCAGAGGACAAATGTGCCCATTATCCTTCTCTCAACCAAAGCAATCATTCTGTGTGATCTGGTGTCTGGCTGCCACTCGGGTGTAGGACTGAGAAACTGGTCATGTGTCAGGTGTGCTTGCAGCATGTGCAAGCTCATTGCTGTAAGATTCTCCTCCTGTGAATGTGCCCCCCTTATGTTCATGGCACTGTTGATGTGACAACTTGGTATGAATCCCTTCAGGAAGAGTGCAGCAGGAGAGATTCTAGTGCATGTTTTAGGTGTGTTTACAGGCATCTTTCTATTGATTATACACCATCACAGGGAAATTGCACAGGATGTGTATATCCTATTTACATGCATATTCTAGTCTTCCCCCCACCCTTTTTCAATTTGATTCTCTGCCTTTTTTCTTTTCATTCATGAAAAGCAAACATTTAGTGGCTGTTTCATAATTTCTTCTTGACAGAGGTGGACAATGATATTTTTAATGGACTTGGAGATGGGACGCACAACTTGTAAAAAATATGATGAAGATATTGAAAACTGCCCCTTGCAAGAAGGCTCAGGCAAGAAAAAGGTTTGAGAATAGTCATCCTAAAAGAATCATGAATCTTCTGAGAATGAAAAATATATTGAGGAAAGTGTATTGGAAAAACCTGCTATGTTCATTCCTGCATGTGTTTCCTTTACTCCTCACACAGAACACTTTAATTCTGACTCATCTGGTTACCAAATTGGGGGAGCGTTCCCACAGCAACAAAGAATTCTCTGAGGCATCAGCTGGGTGTCCTACAATTTATGTTAACAGGTTAAGGGCTCGGTCCCGCATGACTGCCCTCACTCACTTCAGATGCCAATTACAAGTAGTAGGTCCCCAGGCTACCCACAATTTCTCTCTGATTTGGCTACAAACCAGAGGTTTCCATTCCTTAGGTTTGATTAATTTTCTGGAGCAGTTCACAGAACTAAGGGAAACACATTTGCCAATTTATTAAAAGTTATGATGAAGGATACAGATGAGTAGCTAGATAAGGAGATACATAGGGCAAGGTCTGGGAAGGTCCCGACTGCAGGAGCTTCTGTCCCTGTGGAACTGGGGTGCATCAGCTTCTCAATATATGGTTGTGTTCACAACCTGGAAGCTCTCTGAATATTCTATTTTTGGGATTTTATGGAGGCTTCAATACGTAGGCATGATCGATCATTAACTTCATTTCCAGACCCTCTCCCCTCTCTGGAGGATAGAGGATTAGTAAGGCTGAAAATTCCAAGCTTCTAATCATGGCTTGGTCTTTTCAGTGACCAACTCTCATTCATGAGTCATCCAGGAGCCCAACCAGAGTCACCTCAATAGAACGAAAGATCCTCCTAATGTTCTTATCACTTAGGAAGTCATAAGGGATTCGAGAGCTCTGTGACAAGAATCAGGGGCGGAGACCAATATATATATTTCCTATTATCTCACAAAAGGACTGTAGGAGGAGGCATAAAAAAGTCATCAGAGACACTGCTGGGGCAGAACGAGCATCACGACTTCCACTCCCACCAAGTCCCAGGGTTCCCCTTTGGAGGAATATGATGGTTATTCTAGACAGACAGAGATGCTCCCAGAAGAGCAGTGAGCTGAGCCCTGTATTCCCAGCCAGGCTTGTTGATCAGAGATACCCTAACCATACTCATCTGACCTTCCTCCCTAAATGGAGCCCTGCCCTTGGGTCCCAGGCTGAAATCTCGGGGTTTAGGCAGATACTATTCTCTCTGTGGCCTTCACTCTTCCTTTGCTCCCATTCGTCCAGATCCTAGACTATTTATTTAGTCTCATCACCCACCTCTCCTTCTAATCTCCTGGGTTGCAAGGACATGTCCCATGAGTTCAAGTTCTTATTCATTATCCAAGAACTAACATCTGGTCCATGGGGTTTAGACCTTGGGAATGGGCCTCCATTAGGATGATGCCCTCAGTGGGGCTGATCTCCCCCTTATACCCCAGCTTTGGGGGCATGCTCCCCTTGGGGTGGGTTTGTAGCTTCTGCTGAGTGGGTGGATGCTCACCTGGATTATCTCCTAGGCAGTGTGCTGGCTCCCTAGAACTCATAGTGTGGGGGCCCTTCATGCAGCATCTTGTGCACTGGAAACCCCTCAGGGGCAGATGATGGCCCTACCGGGCTTCCTCTCAGGAGTCTCTGGGCTCAGGTGGGTAGAGTCATGTGGGTAACCCTTGCCTATCAACCTAGTGGAGCCTTGAGCTTCGAGAGTCCTGACCAGGCCCTCGTTTTTGCATTCTTTCCTTTTGTAGTTGCAATGAATCTTGAGCCCCTATTAAGTTCTTCATGCTAAGTTCCCTCATGTGTTACATTGTTTTGATTTTATGTCTTGCAATTATATTTTTCAGATGGACTGCACTTTTGTTGTGGATGCCCGACCATGGTTTTCTCAGTTTACCCTCCTGAACAGCACCTGTGTGCAGAAGTAGGCAGGGAGGGAGCTCCTGGATTCTCACAGCAGAAGATCCTTTTTATCTAGAGAGTGACAGTCAGTCTGTAGTTAGGTCTGTGGAGCATCAGGAGAATTAAAAGGCATCTCAGAGCACTTTCTGGGTCCCTGTTGGTTTTGTACTCTCCTGTCGTTTACTTTCCATGGAAGTCTCTGCCATTGACCCGTGGTAAAGAATTTATCACCTCTAGCTCCAATTTTATGTCAGAAAGACCTGATGTCCTGCTTTTTATTTTTCGCTATGTCAGTTGTTTCTTGCCTGGATCCATGTGAAAACCCCACTGGTTTTATTTCACAAATCTCCTACAGACCAAGTCATATACAGAAGAATCTTTGTGACCCCATATCAGAAATACATAAAGTCCCCAGGTGATTGACACTTGTAGACAAGATTGTGAAATGGTTTTATAAGGAACTCTAATATTTAAAAATTGTGTAACGTTCAGTACATTTTGTTTGTGGCATGTGTCTTTCCTATGGTTCCTACTCTCCCAGAATAGGGGATTAAAAACGTGGCCCTATTCACCTAGGTGATGCCCATAAGTCATGAGTTGCGTAAGGTCTTTGGTAGGGTTGGTACATTTTGCCTTATCTCCATTCCCCTTTGCGAATTTGGATCTTTGAATCCTCCCCTTTTCAGTTATTGTTGTCTCGTTTTGTCCCTATGTATGCTGAACGTTCATTACTATCTTGCTATAGCAAATCTCTTCTTATTTTAAGCTTATAATGCCCTGTTTGTAGTAAGGGTTGCACTCCTCTGCTTTTATCAGCCTGCTAGTCACCTTACTCCTAATTATGCACTTTTTTTTGTCATTTTGTTTTAGGTGAGCTGACCTCTTTCAGTATTTCCATTAGTGCAGGCCTCGTAGTGGAGAATTCCCTCAATTTTTGTACGTCTGGAAAGGTCTTTATTTTTCCTTCATAACTAAAGAAGAGCTTAGCTGGATACATTATTCTTGGCTGGTAGTTCCTTTCATTTAATAGTTTGAATTTTTTATTCCATTCTTTTCTGGCTTGTAAGGTTTGTGCTGAGAAGTTCGACGATAATCTAATGGCTTTTCCTTTATAGGTTACCTTCTTCTTTTCCCTGGCTGTCCTGAGAATTCTCTTGTTGTTGACTTTTGATCATTTTAATACGATGTGTCTGGGTGAAGGCCTTTTTGAGTTGAGATAATTGGGTGTTGTGTTGACTTCTTGAATTCCAAGCTCCAGCTCATTCCTTAGATTTGGGAAATTCTCATCAATTATTTGTCTGAAAATGCTTTCTAATCCCTGCTCCTTTCCCTCCCCTTTGAATTCTCCATTATTCTTATGTTTCCTCTCCTGATGGTATCAGCTAGTTCTTGAATTTCTCTTTCATCATTTTTCATTTTTTGGTTTCTCTCCTCTTCCTTCTGATTTATTTCTAGATTTCTGTCTTTGATATCACTGATTCTTTCCTCCATTTAGTTGACTCTATTTCCCAAGATTGCTATTTTATTTTTCAACTCTTACGTTGTGTTCTTTATCACCAGGTCTATTCAATTCTTTTTGAGGATTTCATTCTCCTTGCCGAAGATCTCCTACTCATTTAGTTGTTTTTTCAATTCCTGAAATTGTTGATATGATTCGTTTTGGAACTCAGTGAGTTTTTTCAGAAGTACTATCCTGAATTATCTGTCATTTAAGTCACATATTTCTACGTCTGTAAGCTTATTATCCGGAGATTTTTCTCTTTCTTTCTGAGATACCTTGTCACGTTGGTTGTTCATGGTGTTTAATGGACTATTTCTCCACCTGGGCATTAATGGAAGTGTTCTGCTTTCCCCCCCCCCCCCAAGAAGGAAGATTTATTATATAATGGTCCCTAGCCTATTATAAATAAGGTGATTTTCTTTTGGTTTCCAGTAGGTGGTGTCTAAGCCTCTTGGATCTCTGCTTTATATAAAGTGTTAATAACGTCTTTTTTTCCTTGTAGATGTTTAATCATGCTCGCTACCCTCAGTCTCAGTTCCTGTCAATGTTAGTGACAGTTTCGGTAGCGTTTGCTCAGATTCCCCTGGGGCTCCGTGGCATTCTGTCTTGGACGTATTGGGGGAGGGGCCCTCTTGGTTGGGAATTGGAGGCTGCAGCTCAGCTTAGTTTTGCAACTGCAGCTGGTAAAAATCAACTGTTGTTTCTCTGCCGTCCCCACTTTTCTGCCATTCCTATTTTTCTCTCTTCTGCCCTGATGATTGGGTACTGCCACCAACTACATGGAGCTCACAGCACTCTCAGGCAGGGCTGTTCAGGGAACTCGCCACTCCTTCTCCCCTTCCCCTCTCCCTACAGGAAGCTCCAGCTGTGAGAGGCAGCTTCTTTGTTTCTCCCAGTCTACTACTCGACACCAGGGCTTCTGAACTGTAGTAGCTTTTATGTGCAGATCCCATGCTCAGACATGCTGGTGTGTAGTTTGGTGTTTTTTTATTGAGTTTTAGGTGTTCAGTTTATTGTTTTTTTCAAGGGGAGAGATCTGGGATCTCATGCCACCATGTTTAATCCAGTCTCTGGGGTTGGTACATTTTGTGCCTGATACCACTGTCATTGATGAACCCAAATGAGTCATTTTTGAATGATGCATCACTCACTAAGGTCAGTCAGAATGAGAAGCAGGCTATCATGTGTCATTGTGTTCTGGAGAAACCGCTCTAGATTCAGCCCAGTCACTAGTTGTTTCTAATTAGAAAGGAGTAAAAAAATGCCCAAAAGTTATAATACAAGCAAACAATAAAAAAATTGACGCTTATTTTAGAAATTCTTGATTTTCACGAAACAGACTGTTTTATGGAATGACCTGGTTTTAAGGACTGAAATATATTTGCTGAGAGCCCTACTGAAATGGGGGATTAACACAAATCTCAGCACTTGGATCTTTGGAGGAAGCTTCAAATGTGGAGGGAAGGGGGTATAGGAGAAAGAGGAGGACCATTCTTTCTGCAAGTTGCATATCATAAATTATCTCTGAGATCATCTCTATGAATCCTCACCACCAGCCCCCTTTCCCATTTCCATAACTGGGTACAAGCAACTAGTCTTATGGTTCTTTACTGTAGTTTTCTGAAATGTAGCTCAAGACTAACTGAGTCCAGCACCCATATCCATTTTCCTTTTGACTCTTTGATTTCCAAACACAAAGATTCAAAGGCATTAGCAAAGAAACAAAGGCTTAGAAACACTTGTAACCACTTGTTATCATCTTTTTGTGATGCTTTCCAAATATTATTTTTCAGAACAAAATTACCTTCCACAGAAACTGTTATTATTTATCTGTTTTCTTATCCTCTCTTATGAGGTCATGTTGTCAGCCCATGAATTCAACCAAAAGACCAAACTAACAAATCAATGTCTCAAATCATCACATTTGTCAGGATGAATTCCTCACCTCTGTCTCCAACTGCCCCACACTCATGTACTGTCCCTCAGCATCTACCTTAATCTACGACCAGCACTCTATAGACCCTGTACCATCTCCTTTTCTTCATCTTCCAGTCTCCTCATCGCACCCCACTTTTAGAATCTGCTACTCTTTAAATGATGACATCTGTTATCTCTGAAATTGTTTATATTTTACATAGACCTATCCTGTGGATTACACCTTGTGCATAGCTGTCAGATAAATTTAAACTATTATCCAAATAATTCAAAGCCTCAAATTAGTTTTATATTTTTAAAATACAGAATGTCTAGCACTTGGTCAAAAACAATCAGAAAAAATAAAGACAAGACATGATGAAGCAGAACAAAAGTAAATAAAAGAAACAAACCTGAAAATATATCTTGTGTGGTTATCAGATATGGACTTTAACATAACCAAGATGAATAGGCTCAAAAAATTAAAAGATGGATAATACTTGCAAAGAAGTAGAAACTATGTAAATGAATAAAAGGAAAGCTCTAAGACTAAAAACTGCAATAACTGATATGAAGAATGATATAGGCAGGTTAACCGCAGATTAGAAACAGTTGAAAGGAGAATTAGACAACAGGAGGCAAGCCAGAGATGATGGTACAGAATGGAAAGTATGAGAAGATCAAAGTGAGATCTGCCCCACAGTGGAAGAAATAATGAAGCGTAAACAATATTTGCAAATGTAAAGCCTGTGTTATCTAAAACTGATCAAAGACATTAAACTATTGATTTATGCAGCGTTACAAACCCTAAGCAGGATAATAAAAGAAATCTTGATCTGAGCATGAAAGAGTTAAAAATAAAATTTAAGGAGAGGGACAAGATGGCAGGCTAGGCAAAAAAGAGGTTCTCCTCCTCTCAGGACCACATTAAAATTACAACCAAAATATACAACATTCAATGTGAAGAACCACCTGAAGTCTAGCTGATCATAACATATACATCTGAAGATATAAAGAAAAAGCCACATTGAGACCGGTAAGAGGGCAGACATGCAAAGCAGGCTGGTCCTGCACCCACATATGATGGTTGAGCACTGGGAGGGAGGGAGTGGCTGAAGAGGCACCCCCTGAAGGAGCGAGGGGGTCAAGCCCCACATAGGGGCTTCCCAGACCACAGTTCCAGCACTGGGAAAAGGAGTTCCCACAAAATCTGACTGGGGATTCTGGCTGTCCAGGTGAGACAGACGGAACCTGAAAACTCAGACATCATCTGTAAAGGGCCCATGCACAGACTCACTTGCTCACAGCCATTCCCCCTGGGCACTGGTAGAGGGTCAGCCCCTTGAGAAGCACAAGAGACATATGGGGAAAGATTGAGTTGCCTGGCACCAGAGCATGAGCTGGACACATGGCTGACATTGTTTCTTGTTGGAACCTGCTCCAGGTCAGTCTGCAGATGGGCACCATCTTGCCTGTGTTGAACCCTCCCTCTTCACAGCCAATTCTGAATCTGTATTGTACCAGTAATATAGGCCTGTCCCACCTCATGTCTCCCTCAGACCTTGCCCCATTTAAGGCATAAATTGCCCACGGTAGGCCTGTTGCTAAATA